CCGCCTTCCCACCCGCCGGTCCGGAAGGCCGAGGGAGGCTCGTCTGACTGGTCCGCGGTGATAAAAAGGTTGGGGACCACTGCTCTACGGCACCCTCCGCATTGCCTGCTTCGACGAGCAGCCTGAGGAGCCCAAGGACGCCCCCGACGCCGCCACTTCCGCCAACGCCTCCGAGGCCGCCTCCTGCCCTGGCCACCCTCGCCGCTTGCGCGCCTTGCTCTGCTCACACTGCCTCTACACGGCCTCCGCGCCGCCCTGCCTGCTCTCCCCACAGCGGGACAACCTGCACCAGATCGCGGCCGAGGGTGCCGGGCCCGCCGTCTTCCTCAACATCCTGGCACCGCCCTACGACCCGGCCCGCGGCCGCGACTGCCACTACTACCAGCTGGCCGACGGGCAGAGCCTCCCGGCCGCAACCGGCCCTCCGTGCGCTCTCTGGCTGTTGGAGACCACGCAGGCGCCCGACTTCTGGTGTGGCGGGGAGCCTTACCCGGGCCCCCGAGTCTACCCCTGAGCCAGGACGGAAGACGGACAGCCTCCTTGGCTGACCTCGACGGCGGGGCTGCTGAGGGGGACGATGCCCACCTGGACTTTCTGCTGGGTTTCAACGCCAGGTCTTGCCTGGACTTTCAAGCCCCCCCTCCTTTGGGAGTGTAAAACAGCATCTCTGAGATCATGGATTGGCTCCCCCCTTTTTTATTTTTTAAATTCCCAGTCGAATTAGCAACAAAAAGCACTGTGGACAGCCTATCTTAGTCTTTCCTCATCGTGATTTCATGTCTCAAAGTGTTCTTGCTACTCCCTTTCTTACTGACTCTTCTGATTTCTCCTCTGTTGCTTTGATGACATTTTCATGCCTGAGTACCTGAATTTTTGTTACAGATGTTTCACAGAGCAATTGATTTATAGGATCCGAATTGGAATGAAGAAAAATGGTTTTGTGGATGTGTGAGTGTGTGTCTTTGTGTTTGAGTAAGCGAGGGCTCCAGTAAGGGAACTGCGCCTATTTAGGAAAGTAGGTGAATTATTGCAAACATGATCAATCGAAGATAAGTATGGGGACAGGTTGGGCAGTAGAGAGAAATAGAGAGAGAGAGAAAT